TCAGCCCATTGCCAATGCAATTTACTGCCAATTTTTCAGTTTCTGAGCTCCCTACTGGTCTCATATAATGGAACTCATCTCAGCCCCTAGAACTGGGTCTAATAACACATGCATGCTTCTTTTTCGGGGAGGGATGAGCCATAAAGATGGGGCTTGACCTGACTAGGAAGAAAGTTTCCCACAGGATCTAGCTCAGCTCCTGCCAGCATCTGCAGAACATGATGAGTCAGGAGCTTCCTGGGCGGCCAAGAGAGCCATTGGCGGCCAAGAGAGCCATCCGACATTGTAAAGCCAAGCTTGCATGGAAAAGCCAGATGGCGGTTAAGTCCATGGGAAAGGGCACCAAAGAGATTCTGGCTCCAGTTGAGGCATGTGCCTTTGACTAGGCCCTGGGTGTTTTGTCTGTTAAGTGGAATGACCAGATTAAATGAGATGACACACATGAGGTACTTAGACTTTGTGCTGAGCAAAAGGAAGAAAAAGATACAGGAAGTGCTAGGCCCCTCTAGCAGTTCCAGCCTGCTCTTGAGTTTTCTCTTTGCCTGGTCCACATATACAATCTAGAAGAATGTTCCATCTACTCTGCTTCCACCACAGAGCCTGGATCCATATGGTTCCTCCTCCGCCATGCCCCTCAGCACAGACTCCCATCCTCTCTTGCCTGCAGCTGGCCTGTCTCCATCACTCTCCTTCCCTGCCTCTGCTACTTCCCTACAGCCAACGTCATCCTTCTAGAGGGCCTTATGTTGTCCCCTACCCATGAGCACACAGCCCACCTTGCGCTGCCCCAGCCCAGCTCTTCGCCCTCCCCTCCTTGACCTCCAGCTTACACCCTCTTCCTGTCAATTCTTTCCAAAATCCTTCAGTGTGGCTTCTTCTTAGTATTCTAGTTACAGCTCAGATGTCACCTTCTCAGAAAGGACCTCCTCACCTACCTCAGTCTGAGTTAGCAACATCCCCACCAATATGCCCTGTCTGACTTCGGCATTCTCTGTCACATCATCAGCTATTATTATTTGCAGAGCATTTACACCAACTGCAATGCTCCTTGTGTTTTTTTTTTTCTCTCTCTCCCTCTTTTTTTTTCTCTGTCTCCCTCTTTTTTTTGTTTTGCTTTATTTGCTGTCTCTTGAAACAGTAGATTCATGACAAACACAAAGGTATAGCCTTGCTCACTGCATATCCACTGACCTGACCCATAGTACAACTCCAGTAGGAATTGCTGGACAGACAAATGAATGGGGAGACTGGACTCTAGCCAGCTCTAGAGATTAAAAGTGAGTATAGGGATAATTATATCTGTAAGTAGCTATTATTATATTTCTTTTTCTGTAATTACTAGTAATGTTATTATTAATAATTTGTCAGTGCTTGAAAGGTTGCAAAGACTTCATATTTGGGAATCAGCAAAGATTGTTCTCCAACTCCTCCATCTGAGATTCCTGACCAGTGGGGAGTGGCCCAGAGCAGCTGGTTTGAGGGAGGTGATGGAGACGGTGCAGTCTGGTGACTCCACCAGCATTCCCCACCAGCATCCACCTCTGGTGGTAGAAGCCAGATGACTGTTTATTGAGTGCACACTGAACACTGGTCACCTAACATTTTTATCACCTCATTCACTCTTCAAACAATGAGCAATTGACTAATCCATTTTGCACAGCAATAAACTGGGCTCAGGCATGTTACGGGACTAAACCTGGGTTGGCAATGAAGGGGAGCGGGGCTCACTTCTATTTGCCTCACAGCTCCCATGCTCCCTGCAGCCTACTCACCTGCCTTTTCAAGCACAGCAGGAAAAAAAGGGATAGCTGGCATGACTAATGTGTGGGTGGCCATCCTATCTGGAAGCTGCCAGGGTGCTGCCCTGTCCTGACCACATCATTCTCAGCTCTCCTGGCAATAGTTATGCCTGTTTGCACAAAGTCCTAAGGAAAGCTATCTCTCTTATTGGGGGCAATGCCAAGTGCTTCAGTCATGATTTCAAATAAACCTGATAAAGATTCAAGGAGGGAAAGGAAATCTGAATTTAGGAAAAGTTTCTGCAGAAGAAATTTAGGATGAGACGTTGCAGCATTTTCTGAAAGACAAGGGTCTTCCATGCAAGCAGTGAGCCCAAACTACCCTTTTTCTCCACTAATCTGAAGCATTCTTTCAAAAAGTAGGCCAGTTTTCCCACAGTTCTTCACCTCTGGTTGGAGGTTGCAGGGAGAAAGTACAGCTTCTGCTTGACGTTTCCTCCCTACATTGCACCATAATACGGGCCATCCGCTCATAAGAGGCCACGTGTTGTTTATAGCACAGCCCTCCGTGGCTGGCTGAGGGTGGGCTGTCCCTGATAGAGTAACTCTGGAGGGAAACAGGAACAGCTGCCCTGGGCTGCCTGCTCCTCCTCCACTCTTAGTGGCCACCTCTTGCATTCCACTCTGTGACAGCATAAAGTGCCCACAGATGACCTAGGACAGCACTGGCTGCCTCAGGCAACCAGACTGTCAACCTGCTGCCCAATTCCTGTGTCTGCAGAGGTAGGGACACCTCTCAGGTATCTTTTATCTGCAACTGCCCTAGGCAAATCCAGCTCCAGTGAATAACCCCCACCACCACCCTGTCCTCTCCTGAATTCAGGTAATAGGAAAGGAAACAGAATCGTGTGTGTGTGTGTGTGTGTGTGTTTGGAGTGTGAGTGTGCGTGCATGTGTGTGAATGTGTGTTTGTAACTTTCTTTTCTGGTTAGAAACAGATTTTATATCTGTTGCAGAGCATTTAAAAACTATGTAGACGTATAAGAAGAAAAGTAAAAAGAACCCAGGACCATCACCTCCAGAGAGCAGTGTTGCTGATATTCTTGGCGCTCTTTCTCTCCTCTTTTCTGGGTGTGGGGGTGCATGTGCGCCGGAGAACACAGGGCTCACACGGACAGATGTTTTTTCACTAACATGACATCTTCAGCATTTTGCCTTTTGACACTTTTGGAAAATAATGTTTTGTTTTGTTTTAGTTTCTGTTTATTATTTATTTCATTCTATGATTACACGGTAATTATTTCATCACTCGTCTATTGTTAGATATTTGGGTTGTTTCTAATTTCTTTTTACTATTTTAAATGGCACCATCATAAGCATGTTTCTATCAAAAGTCTTATTCTTATTTCCTGAAGGGAGATTCTTAGAAGTGTCCTCTATGTGTTCTCCATAGCCTGGTCCCACCTCTTCTCAGAGTACCAGCCGTTTCCTTGCTTCATCTCGTCTCTTTGCCTTGGCTCCCATCCTTCTCCCCTTGGCCTAACCCAGTTAAGGTGGCTTCAAGTGCGATGCTACTGACCACTCTCCAGCCCCCTAGTGCACTTGTTCTCATGGTCAAACAATCCATCATGCCATCATCTGCGTCTATTTGGAAAGCATCCCTGTCTCCAAGAGGGTACACACTCAGTGACCAACGAATATTTTGTGTGCAAATGACAACCTGAGTTTTCCAGAGGGACCTCTCCCTTAAAACATATTCATGTACTGGAACTCCTTTAACAGTACATGTAAAAACAGTGAGTCAAGTTGATTATGCAGCAGCTGACTCTCAGCTATGAATCTGGGACAAAGCTGAGAGCTGAGACCCTTTCTGAGGGCATAGGAATCGGGATTGACCTTGGAAGCACCTAGAATGTGTCTATTAAACTAGTATTGACCAAGGGCCTACTCTGTGCTAGGAACTGAGATGGACAAGTGGACAAGACAGGCCATGTGTCCTGGGGTAGGTGGGGGAGGAGAACGAGGGATAGATAGTAAATGCAAGATTAACAAGTAATGCATCATAAACTACATTTAGATGCCAGATACTATGGAGGAGAAGTGCAGAGAAATAAGGGGCATCAGTGTGTGGGGGAAGGTCAGTCTGCATTATTAATTGGGGATGGATGGAAGAAGAGGTGTCGAGTCTGATGCCACAGTTTGGGCCCTGAGTGTCCACAGGAGGCCAAGGCTGTCAGCCCAGCCGGAAGAGGCTGTGGTGGAGCAGCTGGCCGGGAGCTGGGTTTGGGACAGGCAGGGTTTGAGATGCTTATCATCATCCAAGGAGAAATGCTAAGTAGACAGTAGGCTAAGTGAGTCCAGAATTGGGGAGCAAGGTCCAGGCAAGAACCAAACACTGGGGAATTGTTAGTGTATAGATCATATTCAAAGCAATGAGACTAGGTGGGCTCACCCCAAGGCAGTGAGTGTAGACCAGCACGATGAGTGTAGGCAGAGAGGAGGAGCAAGGGGTTTGGCCATGGCTCTCAGGGGGCGCATGGCAGAGGCAGCCTCTAACCCACTCAATCAACTCCCTCCCATGCCTGGGCTATTTCCACTGCCCCCTGATACCTACACTCACTGGCCTGGAGTATGGGGTCCAGGACATGGTAGCTTCCTGCTAGAGCCCAGAGGCTATGAGATCAGTCCAGTGCAACCCCATGCCTGGTACCAGCCTCAGGGCTGGGTTTCTCCTGTTTATTTACTTACCTTTTATTGTGCCTCCTCCCACCCTCCCTTCCTTTCCTCCTTCCTTCTTTCTTCCTCTGTCCTCCTCCTCTCCTTCCTCTTGTTGTCCATCCCCTCCTCTCTGCAATGAGGCCTTTCCACTGGATGTTTCCTCCATCTGAAATCCTCTGCCTGAATTCTCACTTTCTCTGATCTCTGCTCAGGTATCATCTGCTCAGGCCCCAAAGAGGGCCCTCCTGGCCTCCCCTTTCTAACAAAGCACATCTTCCAAGTCTTCTCTTCTACTCTATGTCTCTATCCTGACTCTTTCTTTTTTTTTTTTTTTGAGATGGAGTCTTGCTCTGTTGCCCAGGCTGGAGTGCAGTGGCGTGATCTCCGCTCACTGCAAGCTCTGCCTCCCGGGTTCATGCCATTCTCCTGCCTCAGCCTCTCCGAGTAGCTGGGACTACAGGCGCCCGCCACCAAGCCTGGCTAATTTTTTTTGTATTTTTAGTAGAGATGGGGTTTCACCGTGGTCTCGATCTCTTGACCTTGTGATCTGCCCGCCTTGGCCTCCCAAAGTGCTGGGATTACAAGCATGAGCCACCACGCCCGGCCTATCCTGACTCTTTCTAACATCCATCATCTTATTTTTGCTTGATTCTTCTTCTAGAATGTGAGCAGGACGTTCACTTTGTTTGCTGCCTGGAACAGTGCCTCGTTCATAGCAGGTTTTCAACAAATACTGTTGATGAGTGAATGACTTCAAAGGACCATGGGAAGTTCAACTGTGTCCTTAGAGTTGACCCTCAGCATTCTCCTTCGCAGTCATTTCACACTTCCCAGGTGGTAGGTGGTCAGCAAAGCTGCCGCAGAGCTGTGAGCTGTCCTGCAGCAGACAGGGTGCTACAGTGGACTCTGGGCTGTGTCGCTAGTGGGCTCTCATCAGAACTAGAGGGTGTGCAGTGCAGAAATAATTCCACATGAGGAGATGCCCCAGCATGATACGAGGGGGCCTGTGCAGCTCAAAGGAGCAATGTGTCCTCTTGGCTCCCCAGGATAAATTAACTGAAGCCTGCACTCAGGAAGGCGGGGGTCACGGTCCATAAGGACACTGGGCTGCAGGGTCTGAATGGGGTTTCTACTGGGCTGGCACGTGGAGTCCGGGATCCCCAGTTGGTCAGTCGTGTGGTCCCATCCATGCTGCTGCCTCCTGTGCCAACCCCCGCCAACACATACACACACACACACACACGTCAAAACCAAAGCCTCCAAGGGCCATGCATTGCCCTCCCCTGACCTTGGGGAAGCAGCCACTTTTACATCCTCTTTACAGGAGTTCAGGCTGAAGCTTGTGGGATTCAGGAGACCATCCAGGGTCATGGGAAAGGTAAACGGGGGGCTGGGCACACCCACCACAGCCAAAGCCCTGGCACATTTCCCCTGCCAAGCTGCTTCTCTGAGGCCCAGTTTCCTAATCTGCGGGAGGAGAGGAGCTGTGAGGAGAAAACAGAATAACACCTGGCTGGCAATGGCAGCACTTAAAGCACATTGGGTGGAATGGAATCACTGCTCACCTCATGGGCTTCAAAGGGGCCGGGTCTGCCTTTGGTTCTTTGACTTTTGCTTCTGTTGAAGTTGGTCTGTGTATTTTGAATGTAGGGTGGATGAACAAGGCATTTCTAGTCTGTTACACTAATCATCTTAATATTTTATTTTAATTGTAAGCCACCTATTCCCTTTTGTTCCTTTAACAAATCCAATTAAAACAGAGTACATCCAGAATTACAAAATAGATGCTATTAAACCAATAAGAAATCATAATCTTTTGTTATTGGGCCATGTGACCTCCTGGGAACTTTTGCTCCAAATAAAAGTTGAATTCTTATTATCCGCTAGGGGAAAGGGGGCAGTTTGACAGCTAACGGCTTTCCAGGCAGCACATGTGCAGAGCCACGCTGGTGCTAAGGATAGAGAAGTAAATAATACTAGGGGCAGACAAAGCTATAAATGCATAATATCCCAGTAAGACACTTAGAGCTGGGTTGATCAAATTAACCAGATAATTGCCAAATGAAGTGAACCTGAGAAATTTTTATACAGACACTCCATTTGCTACTTTATAGGCATGGGGATGGAAGTTTTGTTGTAATGGGAAGAACATACCCCACAGAAGTGCTGGAATAAGGTGGCTGTGTGTGCCTGGACAAACTCCTCATACAACTTCCCTCCCCACACCACCCAGAATAGGAGGAATATTCCTACTACAAAGGAGAGTGATATGGATGACTGAAATGGCAAAGGAGAGGTCACTTTATGAAGACACAGGCATGATGTACCTCTTAGCGTGGTTCTGAGGATGTGTAGAGGCAGCGGGGAGGGTGCTGGGGGGCATCATTTGACCAGCACATAGAGACAGCTGCTGTGTGGCAATAGCAGAAGTACCTTATGAGAGGTTAGACTTTCAAGTGAGCTCACATGGTAAAAATCAAACTTCTGGTGGTCTGCATACAGCCACCCCTGATACAGGGGCACTACAGCAGCCTGCAGCCCTCCAGGGCAAAGAGGTCACTGCCTTTCTGGTGAGCACCAGGGAATGCAGTTGACTGATGTCCCTGGGCGATGCTACATGAAAATCCTGTGTCTTTGCACTCTTGACTCACACTCCATGTGGCAAGGCGTTTACACTGCATTGGGCCTGCAGGGACTGGAGAAACTGAGAAACAGCCAGGTTCTGCCTCCATTGCCACCCACTTGGGGACACATGCCTATGAAGTGAACTGGCTCATGGCATTATGTGTGCCCCATAAACTGTTTCTCTTTCTGTCATTGTCAATTGCTAAACTCTTACAGTTAAATGACTCTATTAATGCTATTAAAATATCAGTAACATTCATACTATTTGTACATATTTAGATATACACCCACATATATATGGTACATCTATGAAAATGAATATCCTGCATATGGGCCCCTGGACAGTGAAGTGAGCAGGCAATGGGTCACACTGAAGCGATTTCTTCAGGGACCTTATTTGCCTGTGGTCAGTTCCTCCAAAAGGCCAGTGGAACGTCTGCATTACTGAACCTCTGCAGGGATTTTGGCTAAGGCTGCCTCTCTGTCTCCTCACTCTGTTGAGTTGGCTGGCTGCTTCAGCCAGAGTGCACACCATTCTTCATTTAGCAGACTCTCTAGGGGGTGACATTGCAGTTCCCAGGCCAATCCACGCCAAATTAGAATGGACTTGAGCAAGTGTCTCATCACCCAGAGCTCTGGGGACTCTGACATTCCTTGGTTCCAATGTCAGAGATTCCAGCAAAACAGGAACACCCTTCCTGAGGCCTGGGGCCATGGTGGCGGGGGGCAGTGGCCTTCCTTAATCTCCTGTGCAGAAGTGGGTGTGGCTTTCAGCCTGAGAGTCATAGGATTCCAGGATGGCTTCCTCCCCTTGGAGGCAGTGGGGGCCAGCAATGTACCCCCAGGATGAGGCATTTGCTACTGCTAGAGCACAGGCAGCAGAGGGAGGAGAGAGAGAGGTGGCACTGTGTATAGAACGATTGTACACCAGTTTGCGTATCAGACACATCAAGGTTTGACTTTGACTGTACTCTTTGCTGCCTGTGTGACCTTGGGGAAGTCACTTAACTTCTCTGATCTCAATTCTCTTATTGTAAAAATAAGGTTGATATTTTGCATAGTTGCTCTGGAGATTAAACATACATGAAGGGCCCAGCAGCACGTTTGAGGCAATTACTTTGATACCATGAGTGAATGATAGAGAGGGGCTCTTGACATTGGCAGTATTTCCAAAATTAATGTCAGAAGTCCCCCCAAACCGTGGAGTCCCTTTAAGATTCCAGCCCCTGCTTCTGCATCTCTCCTTCCATCATCCCTCCATCAGCTCTGCCCAGAGTGTGGTGGAGCTATTGCTGTGAGCTGCACTGTCATCTCTGTACCTCTAATCTGTCCCTTTCTAGCAATCTGTCCTTCTGCCCACAGGGAAGCAGGGCTCACATTGGGGCAGTTAGTGGAAAAAACAAAAACACTTTATGTTTATACCCCTAAGGAAGCTATATTCCTAAATCCCGGTAACACTGCAGAGCAAGTAGCACAGTACACAGTTTCTGGCCCAGAATGATCTTTGGACAAGGGGTAATTCTTTAAGCTATGCCCAAGTCAAAAGTTCGTGCTGATTTCAGAGGCCTTGCCCAGAGGTTCTCAACACACCCATTACAGACACAGGACCCAGAATGACAGTGCAGGTCTCCACCTCCCATGGATTTCATCTGTGAAGATACAACTCCACCTCTCTTTAGAGGGAGCATGACCATCCTGGGAAGGGGCAGAGGACACAGAGAGTGATCTGAAGCCACTCAGGAGGTCACAGTTACGTCAGCTGGCCTGTTACATGCCCAGTAAATATAAGGGTTGGGAGAGAGGACAAATGCAGTTACTTTTGAATGAGTGAGTTGTTGAGGGAAGTTTGTATCATTTCCTCTTAAGAGATGACCCACAAGCAAAAGATATTTCTCATCCGCATGACATGAAACTTCCTATAAAGCTAGTCCCAAACACTGGCTGTGAAACGTCAGTGTCTTTGGGGGTTTCAGTTCCATGTGTCTATCCTGTATCTCAATGGATCAGTTGAAAGAATGAAATTATTATTGTGAGATTGTGTTAGCAAGCTATTTAGGGATGTCAGATATATAGAAACAAAGTCAGTCTTACTTAAAATTGTAGTCAAAGATACGTGAGTGTGAAGCACCAGACAAATTCTAGTATCATAATGACAAGGGTCTTACAACTGGAAACGTTTGCAAATATTTGGATGACATTAATATATTGGTTGCCATTACTTTTTTAATTTAGATATCCATGGGGTGTCCCACCATGCTGTTTGATTCACAATGACTAGAGAGAAAAAATTAATTAGAAATTAAAGTCAAACCAACTGGTCCACTTTTTCCAAAGTATAAAAACCAATTGTACAAGAACAAAAAGACACAGTACATTTAGAAACCTCTTATATTTGAGCTGCCAAGCTGTTCATGTGGAATGAAATCTATTATCCATCAAACCACACATAAATACATCCATTCATCTGTCTATTCACCCATCTATCTGCTTATCCACTTACATCTTTCTCTCTATAACTATCAGCTTCCCTTGTGTGGCTTGATCCCACTCTGACATTTCAAGAATTCTATGAAATGATAATAGGCCATCTAGCCAGTTTGAAACAGATGATCAAAAGATCATCTGTTTCTCCCTTCTTTTGCCAACTCTTACCCTGGGCAGGAAGTGGCTACATAGAGTTGGATAACACAAGGCACATCCCTGGTCTCTGGGGGCTCTGAGACGGGGCTTCTGGCACTGGGTCTGCTTCTAGTGGTACTGGGCAGCTTAGGGGGTCAGGATGGACCCTGAGCCACACAACACACTCCGCCTTCTATAACTGAGAGCAAGGGTCCCTGCCAGGGTCGGGTGGCCCCAGGGAGAAGAGCAGAGAGGGTGGAAGTTCACCATGCCCCATCTGTCCCCAGGGCTGCCTAGGGACCCAGACTCCCTGGGGAGGTGAAGTACATTATCCCAGCCAGCCCTCACTTTACCTTGAGGTGATTAATGGGCAGGCTTGGAGCCAAAGGGCCCTTTGGAGAGAGGCTCCTTAATGGAGGAGTTCTCTGTAGCCAGCGCCGCGCTGCTCATCACCATTCATCAGAGCTGGGAGGGCTTCTTCTCACAGTGTGGGTGGGCTATGGGCAGCAGGCACAGCTGGGCCCAACTGGCTGGATCTCCCGTTTGCTGGAAACACCCCTTCCTGTCCAGGATTCTTGCTAACCCATGCTCAGTGTGTTTGGACTCCCTGAGCTGAATTTTATCTTACATAGTAGAAGAAAACCAAAAGGCAGCCCGGGTTTTCAGTGTTTAGGGGATTCTGGTGGCCAGAATCAGTGAGGATCTAGATTTGAACTATTTCAACTTGAGGACCGGGCCTGTTTACTGTTTATCTGTGTTGCTCAGAGGCTTGATAAATGGTAGGCACTCAATATGCTCATACAGTGAGTGAACAAATGAATGAATGCTTGAGTAAGCACATGGACTTAGCTTAAATCAGTCCCAAAGGACTAATAACAACCACAGAGAAATGAAAATTTACTGATTGTTTAGGCCCATGGGATAGGGTTGCCAAATAAAATACAGAACTATGCAATTATTGGGACATACATATATATATACTAAAACTATTTGTTGTTTATCTGGAGCTCAAATTTTACTGGGGATTCTGCAATTTTATTTGCTAAATCTGGCAAATCTACCATGAGGAGAAGCCATTGATAAACATCAGATGAGTGCATAGACTTCCCTGATCTCAATTCATCTCTTTTTAATGAAGATTTCAACTCAAGCACAGCAGACAGTTTTTCTGACATGCCAGCTTGTGAACAGCTGTTCCCTGTGGAACACATCCCCCTGGTGCATACATCAGGGAGACATACACATTGGACCACAGTGGTGCCCAGATGGTACCTATTTGGATGCCTTTTCAGGGGCAGAACTGGGTTGTGTGGGGCTGTAACAAAATCACAGACTTCCAACGTGGGACGAGCCAGCAGGCACAGTGAGAGGAACAGAAGTAGAATATGGAGTCCCAACCATTTTGTAAAGTTTTTTTAAAAACAATTTACTGTGTAGACACAGTAAAATTGCCTCTTTGGGCACAGTTCTCTAAGCTTTAACAGAGGTACAGATTCATGTAACCACCATCACTGTGGGGGTGCAGGCAGTGACACCAACTCAGAAAACTCACTTGTGCCTTTCCCTTCTAGTCAAGCCTTTCCCCAACCCCTAATCCCTGCAACCACAGATTTGTTCTGCACCTAAAGTTATGGCTTTTTCAGAAGGTCACATAAATGGAATCATTCCATTCATGTAGACTTTTGAGACTTTTTTTGTTAGGCAAAATGCTTTAGGGTTCATCCAAGTGGTTGCATGTATCAGTAGACTTTGTGTTTAGTAGTATTCCATTACCACAGTCCTCGCTTACCTGCAGGTTGTATGTTCTAAGACCCCCATTGAATACCTGAAACCACTATAGTATACTATGTTTTTCCTATAGGAAAACTATGATAAAGTTTAAGTTATGAGTTAGGCACCGTAAGAGATGAACAACGATAATTCATCATAAAATAGAACAATTTTAACAATATACTGTTCTCAACTTCACAGATAGAAGATTCATTCTTGCTGTAGATGTTAGCAACCTCAGCATATGATTTGTTTTTTTCCCCAAGTCAAGAACTTTCACCTTTTCACTTAAAGGAAGCACTTTAAGGCTTCTCTCTCTTTGGCATATCTGAGCTACCAGCATCACTAATCACTACTAGGACAGCTACTGAGTGATGAACAGGCAGCTAGCATTTACTGAGTGAATCCACTGGAAAAAGAGATGATTCAAGTCTGGGTGGGATGTAGCAGGATAGCCTGAGATTTCCTCATACTACTCAGAAGAGTGAGCAATTCAAAATGTATGAATTTCTTATTTCTGGGGTTTTCCATTTAATATTTCCAATCTAGGGAACTAAAAATGTGGAAATGGAAACAGCACATAAGGGGGACTACTGTACAGTATTAGGAATCCACCCATTGAAGGACATTTATTATTTTTCTGTTTGGGGCAATTATGAATAGAGCATCTATAAACACATGTGAACAGGTTTCAGTGTGAACATGGAATTTTACTTTTCTAGGGTAAATACTTCGTCGGGGAAATGCCAGATGATATAATAACTATATGGTTTTGTAAGAAATTTCCAAAGTGTTTTCCAAGAAGCTGTACCATTTTGCATTCCCATCAGCAAGGAATTAGAACTCTAGTTATAGTATCTCCTTGCCAAAACTTTGCACTATCGATTTTTGTGTTTGTACATTTCTATATTGAAATGTATCTTTAAATCTTCTGGACATTAAAAAAAAATGTATTGCTTGCTTTCTTACTGTTAAGTTGAAAAGATCTTTATAGATTTTGGATACCAGATATCTATGATATATATGATTTGCACTGTTTTCTTCCAGTCTGTAGCTTGTCTTTTCATGCTCAACATTTTTTTTCACAGAGCTCTTAATTTTGTTCAACTTGTTAATACCATCTTTTGTAAATTGTGCTTTTGCATTTACTCAAAGTCATGAAGATTTTCTCCTTCATTTTCTTTTCAAAGTTTTATAGTTTTACATTTTACATTCAAATCTATGATCCATTTTGAGTTAATGTGAGTTAATTAGGCCAAGGTTTAATTTTTTGCATATAAATAATCAATTTCAACACCATTTGTTGAAGAGTTCATTGTTTCTCCATGGAACATCCTTTGACCTTTTGTCAAAAATCAATTGACCATTTGGCCATGTTTGTGTAGATCTATTTCTGGACTCTATTTTTTGTTCCATTGAACTATCTACCTGTCCCATCACCAGTAATACCACATGCTGTAACTATATGGTAAATTTTAAAATTAGGACGCATAATCCTCCAACTCTATTATTCTTTTTCAAAATTATTTTCCATTTCTAGTTTCTTTTCCTTTCATATAAATTTTAAAATCTATTCATCCATATATGTAAATAATCCTGCTGTAATTTTGATTAGACCAATTTGGGGAGAGTTGACATTAAGTCATCCAATTCATGAGCATGGTATGTTTCTCCATTTATTTAGATCTTCTTTGCTTTCTTACATCAGCATTTTATAATTTTCATTATAAAAATCCTGCAAATTTTGGTTACTTATGTGAAATATAGAAGTATTTTATTGTTTGGAGCATTATTATTTTTCATAATTCAGTTTCCAATCATTAATGGCTTGTATATGGAAATGCAATGGGGGTTTTGTGTGCTAACCTTGTATCCTATGACCTTGCTAAACTCATTTATTAGTTTCAAGACTGTTTTTTAAATTCTGTGGGATTCTCTATGTGGACAATCATGACATCTGTGCATAAGAACAGTTTTATTTCATTCTTTTCTGTCTGTATGCCTTTATTCTTTGCATTCTTGCACTGGTTAGAATTTCCAAAGTAATATTGAACAGACATAGTGAGAGTGTGCTGTCTTGTCTTATTCCCAAACTTCAGACGAGAACCTTCAGTCCTTCACCAAGTATGATATTAGCTCTAGCTTTTTAATGTATGTCCTTTAGCCAGATAAGGAAGGGCCTTTTTGTTACCAGTTTGCTGAGAGTTTTTAATCACTAGCAGATGTTAAATTTGTCAAATGTTTTTTCTGCATCAATTGATAAGATTTTTTTTTCTTTTTAGTCTGTTAATATGGTATGTTACATTACCTGACCCCCAAGTATTGAGTAATTTTGGGTTGTCATTTATATTCTTTTTACATGTTACTGAATTCAATTTGCTAATACTATGTTGAGGATTTTTGTAACTATGTTCATGAAGAATATTGATCTGAAGATCTCTTTCTTATATTGTTTTTGTGTGATTTTAGCATCACGGTAATGCTGACATCAGAAGATAAGTTGAGAATTGCTCTCTACTCTATTTTTTTTTTGAAAGCGATCATATCAAATTGCTAGTATGTCTTTGCAATTGATCGAATGTTTGTGTCCCCCGAAAATCTGTATTGAAACTGTAATCTCCAGTGTGATGGTATCAGAAAGTGAGGCATTTAGATCATGAGGAAATTAGATCATGAGGGTGGAGACTTCATAAATGGATTTATGCCCTTACCAAAAGGGACCTCAGATAATTGTTTTACTCTCTTTCTACCATGTGAGGACACAGCAAGAAAACATCTATGAACCAGGTAACATGCTCTCACCAGATGGCAAATCTGTCAATGACTTGATTTGGACTTCCCAGCCTCTGGAACAGTGAAAAATAAATTTATGTTGCTTACAAGCCAAATAGTCTATGGTACTTTGTTTTAGTATCCTGAGTGGACCAAGACAGTCTTCTTTAAATGTTTGATAGAATTTAACGATAAGACCACTGGGCTTCGGGTTTTCTTTTTTGAAATGTTTTCAACCATGAATTCCATTTCTTCAATAAATGGAGGTCTATTTGGGTTTTCATTCCTTCACAAATATTTAGTAATTTTTAGTTGATCTTATCCAGGTTCCTTTTTTTTTTTTTTTTTTTTAAGAGTTGTTTGTACTGTTCTCTTACTATCCCTTTAATGCCTGTGGGATTTAGTAAATCCTCCCTTTAACTTATGATATTTGTAATTTGGCTTCTCTTTCTTTTTTAAAAAAATTGTCAGTCTGGCTATCTGTTTCATTAATCTTTTCAAAGAACCGGCTTATACTTTTTTGTACAATTTCAACTCTTCAAATTTGTTAAGACTTTTTTCATGACCCAAAATATAGTCTGTATTAGTGGATATTCCATATGTACTTGAAAAGAGTTTGTATTCTGCATTTGCTGGCTAGAGTGCTTTATACATGTCAGGTTCAGTTGGTCGGTGGTAATAGTGAGTTATTCTATACTAGCAATTCTCATATCCAGGCAATTTTGCTCCTCGGTGGACATTTGGCAATGTCAAGAGACATTATTGATTGTTACAACTAGTGGGCAGCTACTGGCAACCAGTGGGTAGAATCTTCCGGCCTTACTCTGCTAAACATTCTACAATGCACAAGACAGGTCTTCCCCCAAGCCCCGTCGCCATCTCACCCCTGCTGACAACAAATAATTATCTGGTCTAAAATTTAAATAGAGCCAAGGTTGAGAAAACCTTTTCCTTGCTGATTTTCTCTCTACCTGTTCTATTGACTGCTGAGAGACAAGTATTGATGTCTCCAATTCTAATGGTAAATTTATCCATTCTTCCTTTCAATTTTATGTCTTTGCTTCATTTAAATTGAAGTTCTGCTATTAGGTACATACACATTTAGGATTTTTTTGTTTTATTGGTTAAATGCTCATTTTATTAATAAGTAATGGTCTTACTTCAGGTAAATTTTCTTATTCTGAAATATGCTTTATCTGACATTAATAAAGTCACTACATCCTTCCTTTAGTGTTTGCATGGTATGTCTTTTTACATTCTTTTAGTTCAACTCACTGTTGCTTATTTAAAGTATATCTTCTTTATAGACAACATACAATTGGGTCTTTCTATTTTGTAATCTATCCTGATAATTGTGTCTTTTAATTGGTGCGTGTAGGTCACTTTCATTTAATGTAAGTATTGCTTTGTTTGGATTTCAGTCTATCATTTTAATAGTTGTTTTCTGTTTGCCCCTCTGTTCCCTTTTCCTGCCTTCTTTTGTATTATTTGAATTTTTAAACTCGGTTTTATTCTCATTTATATATTTAGTTTTTTACTATTTACTGTATCTTTTTATATATTGCCTTAGTGATTGCTCTGAGGATTAAAATACACACACTTAACTTTACAGCCTACTTAGAATTAATCTTTCACCACTTCAAAAGCAGTGTAAAACCCTTACCACCATATAGGTCTCGCTAACTTCCCCATTATGTAGTAGTTGTCTTATGTATGACATCTACATACTTTGACAACTCCATCACACAGTGTTACTTTTATTTCAATCACATACATATTTTAGGGGTATTTAGAAGAGAAAAATCCTCCACATTTACTCAGATATTTAGCATTTTCATTGCACTTCCTTTATCCTCAAAGTTCTGAGTTCCTCTCTAGCACAGTTTCCCTTTCACCTGAAGAACTTCCTTGGGCATTTCTTTTACAGCAGCTTAGTTAGTGGCAAAAACTTTTATTTTTCACTCATCTGATAATATCTTTATTTTGCCTTCATTTATAAAGCATACTGTCACAGTCTGGGTTGACAGTTCTTTTCTTTCAGCACTTTAAAAAAGATGTTTCCAGCACCTCTGGCCCCTGTGGTTTCTGATGAGAAACCTGCAGTCATTTCTATTGCTGTTCCCCTGTGGGTGATGTGTCATTGTTCTCTGACAGCGTTCATGTTTTTTCTTTAATTTGGAGCAGGTTGATTATGTGTCTGAGTGTGAATTTCTTTATCTTGTTTGGAGTTTGCTGAGCTTCCTTCCTGTGTTTGTAATTTTTATGTTTTTCATCACTGTTGGAAGTTTTCAGCCATTTTTCCTTCAAATGTTTTTCTGTACCACAACTGTTTTTCCACTCTCTTTGAGATACAGGTGTAAGTACAGGTATCAGCAGAGATAGAGATAGAGGCATGCGTCACTTCCTGCTGTGAATACCTTCTGAGAAATGCATCCTTGGGTGATTTCATCATTGGGTGAACATCAAAGGGTGCAAACCTAGATGGCATAGCCTACTATAGACCTAGGTAGACTACGTGGTCTAGTCTATTGCTTCCAGGCTACAAACCTGTACAGCATGTTACTGTACTAAACACTATAGGCAATTGTAACACAACGGTAAGTATTTATGTATCTAAACCTGGAAGAGGTAAAGTAAAATTATAGGATCATAATCTTATGGGACAATTGTCATATATGCAATCTGTCATTGACCAAAACATCATTATGCAGCACATGGCTATATACACACATGCACATACACACATACACACACACACACACACACACATTTTTAAAGCAGGACTTTTTACTTTTAAAAAGCACCTAGGTCTATAGTAGGCTATTCCCTTTAGGTTTGTGTAAATGTACTCTTTGATCACTCAATGAAGAAATCACCTCTGCCTTTAAACAGAGGCAGCTCAGGGCAAGTCCAGAGTTGCTATACAACTTTCGGAATCACTTTTCCTGAATTTCTTCCCTGTTGCAATCTCTCTGAACTCTGTGGCTCTCAGGAGCATCTCTTCTCCCCCCACTTCTTGGTCTTCTGGCTGGATTTTGTTTTCTAAATCTGTTGCACACTTCTTGCAACTGTTTCTGCCTCTAGGGCCAAGTGGCAGTAGGGTAGAGAAAACAAAGCAAGCTCCCCAGCTCTGAGGACCACAGTTTAGTCAAAGACAATGCTTCTCTTCTTTCAACTTCTAGGTGCCTGCCTGGGTGACTCCAGGGACACAGGGTGGCCTGGGATGAGACAGGAGAGAAGCAAGCAAGCAAACAAACAAAAAACAGACCACAAAACAGATTTCCCTTACTGTCTCTGACCCTTAAAAATCCATTTCCTGTTCCTTGGACCAGAAAGAGAGGTTCTTGTTGGAAATCAGAAATCTTTCTGTCCTTATCTGGTGCAAAGTTTTATGTTCTGGGCTGCCCTTGAGTCCAAAACAAGAGAAATGGTTGACGGGAGAAAAGGGAGTTCAGGAAACTTGCGGCCAGATTGGTCTTCCCTTTGAGTTGTGGATTTCTTCTCCAATCTGCCTGATATCACTTATCTCAGAGTCCCCAGAGTGTCTCTGTGCATTGTGCCCTAGGCTTTACTTGCTTTCAGGAGTCTGGTGGGACCAAGTGAGCATATCCAATCTTAACTGGACTTGGATTCCACTTTGTTTTTTAAGCTGCTTTATCCCATCTGGTTTCTCAGAGCTGAATGATATAGACAGTTCCATATTGGTGAACATGGTGCTGGCTCTGGAAACCAGCCAATTATGCCCGAAAATAGGGAGTCCACCATTTTTAGAAACTAGGGTGAGCTTACAAGGCCTGTGTAAATGAACATCAATGCTGCCAAGAGCTAAGAACTGTCATTGGTTTACTGTGGAGACCACCATCTATTCCAAGGGGCTGTGATCCATCAGGCCTTTCACAGGGTAGGACTCTCTGACCCTTCGGCTGTGAGTGGTGACAGTGGGATTTACAGTAGGTGTGAGACAGGCTTGCACACATTTCCCTTTGACACTGGGTGATGAAAACATATAACTATATCCCCACACAGCCTGATTGCTCAATATTCATGTGCTGTATCAACTTGGGTTCTAATAAAAGGTATAGGTGATGAAGTACAGAGACTGTAGAGCACCTCTCCCTGCCCATCTCTACAGGGAACAGAGGCAATGCAAGTTTGTGTCGCCCAAGGGCATACTTCTGCCTGGTTTGGAAATCTTGGTCCAAAAGAAAAAAAAAATCAGCAAGCAGGAGGCACTGAGTTGTTAAAAAGAAAAGGGGGTCCCAGAACCAAACAGAACAAGAGTTGCATCCTCTTCCTGGCTGCAGACCTTCCTCACTTCTGAGCCTTGGTCTCGCTACAATAGGGGTAATGCTGTGGATCTTGTTGTTGAGGATTAGAAACAACATGTGTAGCAATTTTTAATAACTAACATTAATCAAGCTATTACTATGCACCAGGCACTGTTATAAGTGCTTTATAGTAGATAATTTACGCTCCCTCAGAGCTCTGTAAAGGCGTCTGTTTTCACAAATAAGAAAACACAAGCACAGAGAATTTAAGAAGATTGTGAGTAGAGTAGAGTTGGACGTCTAAGTCAAGCATGCAGAAGATAGAATCCCCATCACATCATATTGACATTCTGCTTCCCTGCACTACGGCAGTCACGGCCATTTATCAAGTTTCTGTGCAGAGGAGTTGAAGTCCAGTGTGAAGGATGTGAGAGGAGGAGAGAAGGGGCAGGAGATGGAAAAGGCAGCATTCTCCATGAGCTTTGCCAGCACCCTTCATTCCCCTGTGTGCTCATGATGGGGAGCTGTGGTGCTGCTGGGCCCAGCAATAGCACACCTTGATACCCCTGGGCTGAGAAACAGGCTTTTCTGCATGGCTACTGTTGCACTGTAGCCAAGGCCTCACTAGTTCCTCTGGGTCCATGAGGAGAAGAGGGATGGGAGCAGTCGGTCTTAGTACCCACCTTATTCTCTAAGATCCAGGCTTATGTTGGCTTGAAAACTCAGTCCCTCCCCAAGAACCTGTATGATAACTTAAGGAAATCCTAGCTTTAAGCAGGGGTCTAGGAAGGGACAGATATCCAAGAACACACACACACACACACGGCCCTGGGTGGGGGATACGTGACAGTCTGGGACAGTGGAGAGGATTTATAAGTCAGGGCATGGCACAGCTACAGGGACATTTAGTATCCTTCAGGCTGATCCTACACCTCCTATTTTAACATCCAAGAAAATCAAAGTCTGAAGAAGGCACACAGTTTGCTGACAATCTATGGCTGGGCTGGGTCCACTTTGCCCTGACTTCTCTCCGCAATCCTCTTTCTTGCTTTTTAAACCACTGAGAGCAAAGCATCATGACTTGGGGGAGCCCAGTGCCCTCTGGCATCTCCTAACCAGATGTTTTCTTATCTTTCAGCAGTTTTTCATGATTTTTCCTCACACTGGTCACTATCCAATCAGAACAACCAACTTCTAACACTCCCTCACTAAAAGAACATGGCTAAGGGCGAGAAAGGCCCCAAGGGCAAGAAGATCACCCTCAAGGTGGCCAAGAATTGCATCAAAATCACTTTAGATGGGAAAAAGCGCCTTGACTTGAGCAAGATGGGAATTACCACCTTCCCCAAGTGTATTCTGCGCCTCAATGACGTGGACGAGCTGGACCTTAGCCGGAATCTGATCAGGAAGATCCCTGACTCCATCTCCAAGTTCCAGAACCTCCGGTGGCTGGACCTGCACAGCAACTACATAGACAAGCTGCCTGAGTCCATTGGCCAGATGACCAGCCTGCTCTACCTCAACGTCAGCAACAACCGGCTGACCAGCAACGGGCTGCCCATGGAGCTGAAGCAACTAAAGAACATCCGCACTGTGAACCTAGGCTTGAACCACCTGGACAGTGTGCCCACCACACTGGGGGCCCTGAAGGAGCTCCATGAGGTAGGGCTCCATGACAACCTACTGAACAACATCCCCGTGAGCATCTCTAAGCTCCCCAAGCTGAAAAAGCTCAACATAAAGCGGAACCCCTTTCCAAAGCCAGACGAGTCGGAAACGTTCATAGACTCCATCAGGAGGCTGGAGAACTTGTATGTGGTGGAGGAGAAGGATCTGTGTGCGGCTTGCCTGAGAAAATGCCAAAACGCCCGGGACAAGCTGAATAGAATCAAGAACATGGCCATGACGACACCGAGAAAGACTATCTTTCCCAATCTGATCTCACCCAATTCAATGGCCAAGGACTCCTGGGAAGACTGGAGGTGACTTGGACCCTGACCCTGAGGCAGAAGGGAAGGAGAGAGGGAGGGAAGAGGGCAGTGGGCTGCATCCACAGGAAACCAAGGGCTCTCCTGTGGCTGCAGCAGCTCTTTCAGCCAAGCCCATAAAACTCCTTTCTTTACTTCCTCAGCACGTGATTGTATTGATTGAAGGGCTTTTGGTTCCTTGCCATTCCACACATTTCTCCCTCCTCTGCACACACACTCACAACTACAGGCACAGTGAGTCAGGAAGGGGCTGTCCATGTCCATCCTACTCTTACCCCCAGATCTCTCTTGTTTACCACTGTGGCCTAGGCAGTTAATGCCCCCACACACTCACTATCGCTGGCATTTCAGAACCCACCGCCAGCTCCCAAATGTGAAGTTTATTCAGTGCAAATGTTTTGGGTCTGGGCTTCAAAGGCAAGGAATCTCAGAGCATGAGTTTGTAAGAAAGTAGATGAGCACTTTGTGTTGGGTAGGAGACAGAGGTGGGCCACAGAAATGGGCAGGTTTTATTATTAAGGCATCAACAGGCAGATAGCTTCCTGGGCCCAAAGCAATGTTTTCTCTCTGAACTGAGCTTGCACAACTTGCTCTAGGAGCTTTCTTGGCCAAATCTGCAGACTTCTGACTGGCTGTGAATGAATGAAGTTGTACTACCATCCTATTACATTCAGTGTTCTTTCAGACCCTCATGGGAGGAAGGAAAGAATGGTGGCAAGTATGGATTGCTGCATTCAATAAATCAACACCTTACTCGGCACTGTGCTAGGTGCAGGGGCCGTGTCCCTTTGGAGAAAGCTTGGCTTGCCTGGTGCAAGCTGGTGGAGAGAGTAACTGAAATGAGATGGGGCAGAGCACCATTGTCTGAGGCATTCAGGAGATCCCGGTCGTGGATGTGCAGGGCTGGCCTGGCAGAGAGAAAAGGCAAAGATTCTGAGGTTGGACAGATCTAGGTCCATGGCAACTCTGCTTCTGACTTGGCATCCCCTTGGGCACCTAACATAGCTTTGGTTCCCTCACTTGTGAAGTGGAAATAATGCTATACCTAACTCCAAGGGTTCTGTGCCTCTAAAACAGGCAGCACATGGAGAACATACTCAGCAGAAGCCAGTTCTCTTCTAGAGCCATAACTTGGTTCATTGCAAAGCTGAAATACTACTTTGAACAGTGGTGCCAGTTGTGCTATATCTTTTGGTAGAAAATGACAGCAACCAAGTCAATCCTCACAATAGCTGAGAACCTTCTCTGGCCTCACTGTGTACCACACTCTCACACCTTCATGTGCATAAAAGAAATGAATCAAGGATGATACCTTGAGGGAGGCTTTTCTCCCCCAGGACTTTCCTATGTTGGTGGCAAGTTTGCTGACTGGATGATGAGAAGCACCAAGAGGCATCCATCAGTGAAGTGGTATTAACTTCTTTCCTCCTCACATTGTTAACCACAGTACACAGCACACTTCATTTCTTCACACCTTGCTGCTTATTTCCTCTCGTAATGCTTAGCTACGACAACCCTATCATGTTTCTAAAACCTTGGGACAGCTAGATTCAAAATTTTCATTTTAGTTTTTCCCTTTATTAAATGTTTTTCATTGTAGAAGTAACAGAACCACAACATACTACTAAATATAGTAGCTTAAAGCATCCATCATTCTACAGTATAAGTCAGCTGCAATGCTGGCAGAGTTCCTTACTAGTTATTTTTCTGTATATATTTTTATACATAGTTAAAATTACAGCATTCCTGTCATTTCTGTCCTGCTTTGAAACCCATGCTGTCACCTGGTATAATAACCACACTTTAAAACGTCTGCAAGATAGTTATTCTTGTAGATATACATAACTATAAGTTACTGTTGTACCTTTATTTTCAGGTTTCACTAATGGGAATAGTCTTGTGATGAGAGCCTATATAACTAAAACATTTTTAAAAATTTTTAATTATTTTCTTGGCATAGCCTCATTATTGGAAATATTGTGTTAAAGGGTGTGTTTTAACAATAATGTTGATACCTGCCATCAAGTAGCTCATAAAAGGTTTACACACATTTATATGCCTACCAGTAATGTAGTAGAGAACCCATTTCACGGCATCCTTGTCTGTACTGAGCCCTGTCCTTCACATTTTTCTCTTCACCTAATGTCCGAAATGACTCATGAGAACCCCTTCTGAAGCTGAGGGGAGCAACCGTGTCTGAGACATGTGTGATGAGACACCATGCTGTAGGTATAGGAGCCACCACTAGCCTGCCAGGTCTTGGACATGTCCACAAGGGAGGCAATCTGCTATTTCAGTCACTTCATCTCTGACCCAAAAGGTATAGAGTCCATGCAGAGACATATGATCGAGACAGAGTGCTGGATAGCTACATGAAGACTTTCCATTTCAGTTTCTCCCCCTTCAGACACTTTTTCTTTAGAATTAATTTTCCCTCCTTAGGTATTCAAAAGGTTCAGCAAAGGAGAGAAGTTAAGAGAAACATCAAGGTTATAGATCCCACCTGGTGCCTTAGGGTTTGCCCGTCCACATCCTCCTTTCCCCACTGCAGCACTCTCCTTGCCATGCTTGGTCCTCAACACCCTTACTTGCTGCCAACTGCTTGGCTGGCCTGACACTCACTCCAGCCTTGCTCTGGGGCTTTATCATGCTTTCCCTCTTATCACACATCTCAGGAAGGAGTTTCAGGTGCATTTAACTTTACCAGGATTGAGACATACCCAGGCAGTGGGCTGGGTTTGCCTCAATGTGTTCAAGTCAGACACCTCTTTAGCCAAGAAATGCTGGCAGCAGGACAAAGCAGACTGGAGATAGAGACCAGTTAGGAGGCATCTTCTGCATCCTATTTCTTTTTCTGCCAAGGAAAAGGTTTGATGTTGGTGTTCCTTCATGCTCTAAAATACCTCAGTCAGCTTTACTTCTTATAAATTGAATTAAGCATAAAGATACTTCATAGGAAAGCCTTGGGGGTTCTCTTTCCTCAAATGCAAAAAAAAAAAAAAAAATACAAAAACAAAAACAAAAAAAACCACCCTATTCACACTAACCTGACCATCCTGACCTTGGTGAGCTGGTGTGACCTCTGTCTTTGCTGTGTTTGCCTCTGTGGTCTGGAGCAATTGCCTCACCCTCTTTTGTCTCCATCCCCAGAATACGCTCAACATCTTCCTAAAGTAGCTGTGGCAAAAACTTGAAGACTACTCAGCTAACAGAATAAACGACTCTGAAGAGAAGAAGCCCCCAGTTAGGAGAAGACAGAGTGTCAAGTGAGATGTTCTGGAAACCAGGCTCGCCGGAGCTAGCCAAGTATCCGACTTGCTTCTCAAATTCACTTCACCTCCCTTAGCTTTAGCTCACCTGCATGTGAAAATGACTTTGGGAAATATTTGATGTGTTTTTAAAAATGTATATAGAGGAAAAAATTTAAGAAAATTACAGATTATATATTATAGACGACTAAATATTCAAGACTTTAAGACTTAAAAGGCTTACTGCCTCTACATTTCACTCAGACTAGTACATCTCGATGCCAGTAGACTGTGATGTTTGTGTAGGTATGACATACTGACATGGTTTGCACATTTGTCCCCTCCAAACCTCATGTTGAGATTTGATCCCCAGTGTTACAGGTGCAGCCTAATGGAAGGTCATGGGGGTGGATCCCTCATGAATGGCCTGGTGCCATCCTCTTGGTAATGAGTGAGTTCTCACTGTATTAGATCCTGTTGAAAATTGATTGTTAAAAAGAGCTTGGCACATCCCTCTTCTCTCTCTCTCTCTTCCTCTCACCAAGTGATGCCTGCTCCCCTTCGCCTTCCACCATACCTATACCTTAAAGCCCTCACCAGGAGGCGCTGGCACCTGTACAGCTTGCAAGAACCATGACCCAAATAAATTTTCTTTATAAATAGCCTTAAATATTCCTTTATAGCAATGCTAAGACACCTCAAGCAACTCCAATTTATACAAAAAGTTATATAGAAAAATATTCTAAAAAATACTATAGATAAGGTAGAATTTTAACAAATCTTTTAGTGGTGCATAGGTAGGCAGGAAAAAGAAAACAGAGAAATGAACAGGAAAAAACAAAAAATAAAAATAAAATGGCAGACTTGTATTCTAACATTTTGATAATTACAATAAATGTAAATGATCTGCTTTATTTATAATGACCACAAAATAGAAACAACCAAATGTTGCTCAATGCACAAATTGTTAAACGAACTCTGGTATATTTCTCTCATGCAATACTACTCAGCAATAAAGAGGAACAGACCATTGATACATGCAACAACTTGAACGTATCTCAATGGCACTATTTTCAGCTAAAACAAAAATGCCCATCTCCAAAAGTCACATACTCTATGATTCCATGTATAGAACAGTCTCTAAATGAAAAAATAATAGATATGAAAAACAGATTCATGATTCCCAGGATTTAAGGATGGTGGGGGAAGACAGGGAGGCAGGCATAACTATAAAGTGGTAGCACAGAGATATCTTTGTGGTGATAAAATAACTGTGTATGTCGACCGGGCGCGGTGGCTCAAGTCTGTAATCCCAGCACTTTGGGAGGCCGAGACAGGTGGATCACGAGGTCAAGAGATCGAGACCATCCTGGCTCACACGGTGAAACCCCGTCTCTACTAAAAAATACAAAAACTAGCCGGGCGAGGTGGCGGACGCCTGTAGTCCCAGCTACTTGGGAGGCTGAGGCAGGAGAATGGTGGGAACCCGGGAGGTGGAGCTTGCAGTGAGCTGAGATCCGGCCACTGCAGTCCAGCCTGGGTGACAGAGCGAGACTCCGTCTCAAAAAAAAAAAGAAAAAAAAAAAAAAAAACAAAAAAACTGTGTATGTGGATTCTGCAGGTGGTTACCCAAATCTACATATGATACAATGACAAAGGACTATGCATACACATGTACCAGTGTCAATGTCCTGGTTCTGAAATTGTGCTGTAGTTATATAAAATGTAACCATGGTGGGGGGGATATTAAGTGAAAGGTGCACAGAGTCTCTCTGTACTATTTTTGCAGCTGTGAATCAATATTTTGAAATAAAAACAAAAAACAAAAATCTTACAGCCTAGATGCAACAATCAATAGATCCTTATACGTCTGCCCAGTGCTGATTTATGAGGCATTATGGCAAGCTTAAAGTGAGAATCTAAAACACCGAGTCAGCCTAGAGATGCAATTGAGGCACACAGTAAGGCAATTCAGGCACCTTAACCTCGGCTCAGCCGGCTAATCTAAAATTACCCATTGTCGATCTTAGTCTTGCAGATTCCTGAAAAAGTTGCTAAAATAAATAGAAACTGCATGAATTCTCTATGCCCCAGGTTTTCTGGAGGTAGCTGGGCACAGATGGCAACTAGGATGGGAGAAACCTTGAACCAGTGGGTTGCTCATCGCTATTCCTGGGCATTTGCACACCTGTTCCCCACCCCTGGTGGTGTGGGAGTATAAGGTTGTGGAAGCAATGTGGCTGGGTAGAGTTGGAAGGAAAAAGGGCAGGCTTGCTGCAGTGACTGGGGCTTGCATCAGGCTTTTGCCCTGGGAGGGATCTGAGGTTATGGCTAAGGATACAGTAGAGATGAGGCATGAACCGAGTGCAGCCAGACAAAGATGAACATGGAATGCGGTCAGGGCCAAGGTCTGAGCATGACCTAGGCAGAATGGCCAGGGCTCGGATGCTCATGGCCCACGAAGCCAACCGTGTGAACAAGCTCCTAGACACTGCAGCACTGGCTGTCACTCTCATTTTGAGTCTGCAGCCAGGTACCATTCGCCTCTGGTCCCAGTGACTCCGGTACAGACACAGGGTATGAGTAGTTTGGTCTCCACAGTTGGCTTCCAGGGCTTCAGTTCGACAAGAAACCCAAGGACATGCTTCTCTACTCCATGGTGGAGCCGGCACTACCTTTACCAGTTAAGCAATTGTGTATCTTACAGATCTGTAACCAACAGCATGAATCTCTAGGGGGCAGGATTGAAGGAGGAGAAATGCTAGGAAGGGGAACTTGAACTTTAGCCTCCTCCCCCCAGCTAACTGTGGTTCCTCTGGGGTGTGGTTAATTTTTCATGGAAGCTCATATTCTCATGGGAATCGCATAGGTTCTTATGGTTGTTTTTCTAAATTATTTTCGTTATTTTTCAGAGAGAATCTCTAAAGGAAACAATAAACAAAACGTTCAACTGTAAAACTTTGCACCCTCAAAATAAATTTCATTCTAAACATTATATATAAAAAATTTATAGAATTAAGAAATGATTTCAGAAACTGCAAATACCCAGGTACAATCAGGCCCTGAATGTAAGTGCCATCTCACACCCAAAAGCTTTCTCCAGCCCGGGGACGCTTTTGCCTCAATGACATGGTGGATGCTCCAGTTTAGCCAAAAATATGTGCTGAGCCCAAGAGAGATTTGAGAGAAAGAGAATCAGATAGGCATCCTAGCCTTGTATTTCTCTGAGTTTTCTAAACTCTGGGCTCAATATGAACTGAGGTCATTAGAAAGCAATGTAACTGAGCCAGGTAATGTTAGCTTCCCAAAGGAATGCCTGTACAAAAATAAGTGTGAATGTTAGGCTCCCATTCCTGCAGAGAACTGATGCAGAGAATTAGGTTCCCCAGCACTCTTTTTGTATGTTTTATTAAAAAGGAATTGTCACCTTTGGTACCCATGATCCTTTAGAGAAGAACCAAATTTGATATTCAGCACCAAGAGAAAATATGTTCCAGAAATTAAAAAAAAAGTTGCAAAAGCCTGTTTCTTATTATATATCCCTGGAAAATAATATAAGCCAACATGATTGTTTGTTTTAGTTTTCTTAGTCTCAGTACAATTAGAGTAACTAAATCACTCCACATGATCACATCTATATTTTTCCCCTTTAAAGGAGTGTTGGGTAATTGTTAAAGGATGGTTGTACCCTGTGTTTAATTTTGAAGCTGTCTGTAGCCCTTTCTGGAAGGGCATGAGTACATTTAAGTGTGAGGATGTGTGTTTATCCACAAGAGCATTCCAGCTAGCTGCCCCCTTTCCCTGCAATTCCTGCCATCATTTCTTCTTTTCTGATTCATCTTTTTACATCTCAAAGATCCTGCCGGTATTCAACACCGCAGAACAGGACTCATCCAACAGCTCTAGCTGGCATATGTTAGAAGGCCCTGTCAGCTTGCAGAACCTTGCACCCCACAGAAGTCTGAAAAGGCTGCCATGCTGTCTTCAAAAGGTTCAGTCCTGTACCATGGGGACAGGATTCATGCAGGCTTTACAAGTATTTTCCACTTGGAATTCAGGCCCAGAGAGCCTCCTTAGTGTGTATATATATATAGTTATGGAGGCAACCATTGTCACTGAAAGCCTCAGCCAAACTCTAGTACCAAAAGCTCTGATTTCCTGTGCTTGTGGGATAGTGTCCAAAGGAGCCACAAGAGTCATCGAAAGCTGAAGGTTTAGGACGTGAAAATCTGTAGCCTAGGCCAAGGGTCATGGGCCAGTTGAAAACCCTCAGAACGGCACACACACCCCCTTAATAGGTAAGAAGTCCACATTCATTAGAGTGACTAACAAGCAGCTAGGCATTTTTCAAGATTCATTCTGTGATTATGGCCTCCAGTGATCCAAAAGAAAAATCATCAGCTTCATTCCAGGCATATGTCAGTGGCCAGTCAAGCCTTCCTAAGGCTGAGGACCACCACTGCCTTCCCACCCTGGAACTCCTGAAGTCACAATTGAGCTGGCAAGAGAAGGGCTGGAGAGGGGGCCACTCCAATGAGCTGAGAACAAGGAGAGCCACCTGCTTTTAATCAATTGTTCTGTTAACATGCCCAAACACACATCAGGTGATTCTAAAACTAGGCAGAAGGATTACAATTTACTGGGCACCTACTATGAGCCCAAGTCAGCTTGATCCTGAAGCCGGGGCTGTTTATTTAGCACAGTCTTGCCACAAGCCCTCCCTGTGTGGGTGGCCTCAGAGCCGAGGGTCATCACTCTGCGGGGTGTCCGCATGTTGCTGAGGCTCTCCTTCCATGAGCTGAGATGAGCATTCCTCTGGAGCACCATGCACTGTTCCTAGTTGACCCCAGAAGCTTCACCAATGGTCTCCAACCTGGAGCTGTGCTGAGACTGTGCCAGGCATGACCCAGCATAACTCTGGAAGACCCTGCTCCAGTGGGATCAGGTAGCCATGATGGCAAAAATAATCACATTGGAAATAAAATCAGAATGGGGCTCAGCTGTACCACAGAAGCAAGGTGGTACACAGGTTGGCATTGCAGGTCATCATCAACCTGGGGATGAGTAAAGAGTAATCTCCAGACATTTGACTCATCCACAGAGCATCATCTTCCTCCAACCTGGCAATCATTTCTGAGGGGCCTCTAACTGAGTGGGCACAGCTGGGGGTCAGCTCCTCTTCTGCATTCCTCCCTCTGCCCCTCCTCTACCTGCCCCTCTCTATTTGGAGTAGAAGGTATGTGGAGGAAGGTATGTGTTTCCAGGCAAGGCACCACTAAGATTCTGAGGACAAAAGACAAAAAATGGACAAAGAGCTACCCACAGTCATAGGGACAACTATGTTGTCACTGAGTGACATTACAGAATAGGTTCATCTAAGGGTGAGCTGCAGAGACAATGAGGCTCAGCGAAGTGATGTGTGCCACGGTTGATGCAGCATTGCTCCAGGGAGAGAGAAAATCATCTGTAGCCCATGAGCACTGCGGCTCAGAACTTCCCTCTGCGTGGAACTGTGAGTGGCCACCTGCTTTTGCTGACACCCTCAGTGCTCACCCCCTTGTGGATAACAGAACCCTGATTCTCCCAAGGAATCATACTCCCCTCAATTTGGTCTATGTAGTTGGGTGGGACTGACCCTATCCCCAGAAGCTGGGTGGGTG